TTTCTAAATCAAATACCTGAAGTTACCCATCCACTTGTGGGTAAAAGTCCACCCAAAAGGGATTGGCCCAAAGCAAGGTCTGAAAGCCTGCCATAAGACTAAAGCACCTTCTGTCCGGGACCCATAGAAAAGGGAACCGCCAGACAAGTCTGGGAGGAAAAGAGATACATTAAAATCAGGATAAATACTGCCATAGTCAACCTCCCCATGGGTCTCTCACCCACATTGCTTTCAACCAGTCCAGGGTCAAGAAATAAGCATGGTTTCTTCCCATGTCTCCCTCTGATCTATATGGCTTCCTCAGGTCGCCTGACTCTCCATCCTGCTTCCTTCATCTTCAGATTCCTTCTTTTCTTTTTCTTTTCTCTGCTCTGCTCAGCTCCACCCTCCTTCTGGGTGGGGCAGGAACCTGGAACTTCACCTTTTCCTGGGGACCACCCAATTACAAATCCTCTCATCCCTAGCATCTCAGGCCTACACCCTAGTTATTCTATGCAAAAAAAAAAAAAAAAAAAAAATATTAGGGAAAAAACAGTTTTAAAAAGATGTGGTACATATACACAATGGAATATTACTCATAAGCAACTAAAAAAAAAAAAAAAAAAAAAAAATGCTTTTGACCATGTATTCCCTCCAAGCAGTTACAAGTGATTGGCCTCACAGATAAGCATTAACAAATTTGTCTTCCCTCCATCTCTTGCAATCCCCCCTTGTTTGAAGGCTTGGTCTTCTTATATTCCAAGGAAAAGGGAGTTAAGCAGCAATTGTTGAAAAAAGCAAGCTGGTGCCCACCTGTCTCAGTCTCCATGCAGATACAATTCCCCTCTCCTTTGCAGACCCTTGCTTATCTCCCTCCTTTATTTTCCCCATTGTATAAATGACCCTGACCCTGCCAAAGAGCTGGAAACTCTTTCAGACATGAGTCTGCTGCCTTCATCTTTCGTTTTCAAATTAAACTACTTTCCTTGTTTCCTTTTATTGGCTGAGGGCAACTGAGACTGTCATTGGTTATCAATATAGCTCAGTTTAAGGGGTTCCATGGTGCTGATGTGCAGCACTCCACAAAGAGTCAAGAAAGCATGATCACCAGCATATTCAGTGGTGAGACACACAGATGGCGATTTCAAAAAGCTGCACCAGGCTTACAAGTAATGCACTGAACAGTATTACTTACCCTAATTAAAAAATATGCTTTGCGAAAAAGATTATTTTCAATAATATAATAGTTTATTTTTACATCATTTTGTGCATTTTTCCATCTCAGTTGTAATCTCCTTGGGCTTCCCACCACCATATTACCAAAGTCTAGTGCATTTCTCTCCCCCCACTGTTTTTGATCCCATTTCCCACTCCACCCCCATAAATTGTCTCTGGTATTTAACTGTTCATTATTATTATTACTATTATTTTCTCACCTGGTCTGTTATGCTCCTGCTATGAGTGAAACCATTTGGTATTTTTCCTTTTCTTTCTGGCTTATTTCACTAAGCATGATCTTTTCTAGCTCCATCCATGTTGCTGAAAAAGGCATGTGTTTCTTTTTTTTTTTTTTTTTGGTTGCTGAGTAATAGTCCATTGTGTATATGGACATCATTTTAATCCAGTCATCCACTTTTGGGCATTTGGGCTGTTTCCATGTCTTTCCAATTGTAAATAAACAGCAATAAACATAGGGGTGCAAGTAGCTGAAAAGGATTATTTTTAATGTTAAACATCAAACTCTAAAGCAATTCAGACTTCCTTGATTCTATCTAGAAATCAGACAGAAGAGTCCCTTCCAAAGCAATACACCCTGTCTCAAACAAATATGATCAAAAGATAAGATCAACAATGGTTATCATTTACATTTTGGAGTTGATTCTGATTCTGTTACAGGGCAACCCCTAAGGGAAATGGGATTGGCTGGGTCTGAGTCCTCAAGAGTACACATAAAAATTTCAGAATAAGACCTAAAGGCAGGCACATACAAAAAGATTTATAAAAGGATTATTTAAGAGAAATGAAATGGGGGGGGGAGGGAGAAAGATAGGCATAGCAGAACAAAAAAGAGAGACAGGTAGAGAGAGATTAGTCCTGTAACAGGATGGTCCCTAGGAAAAAGGGAAGTTCCAGGTTCCCTGCCCCACCCAGGAGGGTGGAGCTGAGCAGAAAAAAAGGAGAGAAGAGAAGGAATGGGGGAAGAAGAGAAGGAAGCAGGACGGAGAACAAGGAGACCGGAGGAAGCCACATGGAGCAGCAAGCATGTGATGAAGAAACCGGGCTTATTTCCTGACCCTGGACTGGTTAAGGCAGATGTGGGTGAGAGACCTGGAGGGAGGTGACTATGGCAGTGTTTGTATTGATTTTGATGTTGCTCTTTTCCTCCCAGATTTGTCTGGCCATTTCTGACCTTTTCCATGGGTCTGGGCCAGAAGGTGCTTTAGTCTTGCGGCAGGCTTTCAGGCCTTGCTTTGGGCCAATCCCTTTTGGGTTGACTTTTGCCCACAAGGGGATGGGTAACTTAAAGTGTTTGATTTAGAAGTTATATTCTTTGTGTTCCATATTGTATATTTACTGTATTAAAGTCCCTTTTCATTAAAGTTTTATATGTTTTGTCTTATTGTGGGGGATGGCAGAATACACTTAGAGCAGGCAGATTTGGGGCTTCAGGAGTGCTCTCTCCCCCTGCCCTATAAAAGTCCTACTGTAACTGGGTGGTCCCTAGGAAAAAGGGAAGTTCCAGGTTCCCTGCCCCACCCAGAAGGAGGGTGGAGCTGAGCAGAGAAAAAGGAGAGAAGAGAAGAAATGGAGAAGAGAGAATGAAGCAGTATGGAGAACAAGGAGGAGACCTAAGGAAGCCACATGGAGCAGCAAGCATGTTTTTTCTTTTTTTTTTTTATTTTAACCTGGAACTTCCCTTTTTCCTAGGGACCACCCAGTTACAATACCAGTAACTTTGTCTGAGATGGCACCTAGGGGTATATATGCTGAAGGCAGGCAAACCCAAAAACTCCCTGCAAGCCCATGTGTGTATGGTTTTCAAACCACTAGGGCTGCTTAACTCTTCCTTTATTTCCCTGCAATCTCCTCTTTAAGATACTCAGAGTCATGACAGATTAATGGCATGATGGGAGTTGTAGTTCTTGGCATCTGGTTGTAGTCCTTGGGCATGGAGATGGGGGTGGAGTACATAATGTATCAGTAGGTGGAGTTCATTCAGGTCATATTATTCCCCAAATAATCTCTCAAGGATTAACTATATATGTTTGGGGAAAAAAGAAACCAGACTTCTAGGTTGAGACATACACAGTTTGTTCCACTAATTAATTAAGAGTTTTATGTCCTAAGCTCAGCTTTGATCTTGACCCCCATTTTTCAGTGCTTATAGTACTGGCAGCAGGAAATGCCTCAGTTCAAACACAAAGATGACACAGACATGTACCAGCACAGAGTCTCCAGGGACTATTGACTTGAAGGCTTGAAGAGAAGCAGAGTGTCAATTAATATCTAAGACAAATGGAGAGGAGGTGGCAGTGTCAGAAGTTTGATTCAAAAATAAAAAAAAAAAACTCTTACTTTTTAACTGGAGCACGCTGAACTGGAGCAAGCTCTCATTCTGATTGTCCAGAGCCCCAATTCCAGGGACTCAATTATAAAGTTAGTAAAAAGTCAAGGGTCTAGATTTTTTTTTTAACTACAATTTCAACAGGCATTGAAGGCAATATTGTCTTCCATATTTGTTCCACACAGAGGCTGCTACTTGCATTTTTGAGTCCTCTTCTCCGTGTCAGACCAGGCAGCAATATAGTGCCTGCATACAGATCTGGTCTATCTGGGAAGTCCCAGTAGCTAGACAACTTCATGGAACATCTATGGCATAGATGCTGAGTTTGGGAGTGAGTGAGGATAACCTCCAGAGGTCTTTGTCTCCCTTCATTCGCCCCTGCTATCCCCTTCCATACTGAATAAGTTTGCTGTGTGAAATCAGTAGAATATTGTAGAAATGGCAGTGTTTGGTTTTTCAGGCTAAATAACAAAAGGCTTTGCACATACCATGTTCTCTTCTCTCTTTCACCACTTGTTTTGTAAGAAGCCAGCTGCCATGGGCACTCAAAGAACCCACAAGCAGGATACCTGGTGAAGAACTGAGAGTCCTGTCAAACTGCCAGTGATAAATTAAAGCTTTCTGCCAACAAACATGTAAGAGCAACATCTTGGAAGCAGATCCACCCTGGTCAAGACTTCATCCTGAGTCAAGAATCTACTTTAGTTTCAGTAATTATCTAAAGCCAGAACTACCCGCTTAACTGCTCTGGCTCTCTGACCCACAGAAACAGTGAAAGGATACTTTTATTAATCATAATGAGTCATCAGACAAGCTGAGATCTCCTGGGGTCAGAATAGAATCAGAAAAGCCTTGGAGGAATAAGGAATACTCCAGAGATAAGGGAGACAATCAAACTCCCTAGATTAGGGGGCAACATAACATTCTAGAACAAGAATGATAAAGAAAAACAACTCTCAGATATGGTCTGGGGCACAGAGACTTAATTCTGGGCACAGAGACATTAAGACAGAGTGAGTGAGACCACTGAGAACTAACTGATCACTGAGAGACTGATGGGGCTTTGGAATAATTAGGAAAGAAGGCATGCATTCTCTGAAGCATGACTTCCTGGCCTGGTTCCAGCAGTCTGGGAGTCCCTCTTTATTTCTGTTCCTTTTCTCCTTAATAAAGTTTCTTTTCTTTTTCTAAACAAATCTGCCTCTTTTTACTTGCTGTCCAATCATCTGCAAAGCTCCTGCTGTGGCTTCATGGGGCACCAGCCTGTGGTGGCTACTGGCTGGGACTTAGCACTACCACCTGGGTTCCATTCCTGATGGGGACACTAGACTTGAAAACCAGAAAGTATGATCATTAAAAGCTAAGTTTTTGAGATTTGGAATTTGGTACACAGCAGTAGGTACAGAACAGAGATTTTATAACTTTGGTACCTGAAGTGGTATGTCAAAGTAACAAGCAGAAATATGGACGTGGTTGGGCCCTCCCTGGTGGTGCAGTGGGTTAAAGCACTGCGCTATGAAGCTCTCAGAAGCCATTGCAGCACGAGTTCAATCCCCGCCCAAGAGGTGTCCCACATGGCATAGCGGACCTCTCCTGATCCACCCGCTGCTCTCCTCACAAGTGTATTTCAGTACATACGCCTGTTCTGTTCCCCACCCTGTCTCTGGGAGTCCTTTCACCCACCACACCTCCAGCCTGTAACCCAGTTCTGTAAGAATAAATAAATAAATCTTAAAAAAAATATATGGAGCGGCCCTCCCTGGTGGCGCAGCAGGTTAAAGCACAGCACTAAGAAGCTTAAGCCACTTCCTCATGAGTTTGATCCCCGCCTGCTCTGGAGGTGATCCACATGGTGGGGCAGATCTCTCCTGACCTGCCCAATGCTCCCCTCAGCAGTGTTCTTCATCAGTCGGCCTGTTCTGCTCCCACTGTCTCTGGTGAAACCTCTCACCGCCCCTGCACCTCTGGCCTGTACCCAGTTCTGTAAACATAAATAAATAAATCTTTTTAAAAATATATGGAGTGGCTTTGTTAAAGGCAGCAGACAGAAGCAAAGACTTTGGGGTGAGTGTTAGTTAAAGCCTCAAGTACTGGGGACAACCAGATTGCCTTTCAGGAAGGCGTTGAATAGAGACTTAAGGAAATGTGCAAACTACTTCTTGGAAAACAAAGGAAAGTAATCTTGTTATTCAGTAGTGTTATAGGGAAGGGAGGGGGCACCTCTGAATCCCCAAACCTGCTGGCTCTAAAGAGCTTTTGCCATCCACCACATCAAGACAAAACACATAAAACCTTTACTGGAAGTGTAACAGGTACAGGTTTCATGGACTCCTCCCCTACTCCAGATGCTGGAACTCCAAATCCCATCAGTACCAAGAAGAAGCACGCTGGGACGTGAGGGCGGAGCTGAGCAGCCAGGTTGGGATAAAACCGGACAAATGGGCTCTGGGGGCGACCTGGTGGTTCGCAGCTGATCGTTTTTAGCGCTCAATCGGTTTTCAGCATGCCTCGGTTTTCAGCGTGCCAGTGGAGTCCAAGTCAGCAGAACTGGTAGGACATCCTAGTTAACCTGTGTTTCTCTCCCTCTTTCCCTGGGTTATTCCTTTACCTTTCTCCTTATAAATAAATCCATTATTTAACCTTTTGAGTGTGTCCATAATACCATTAAATCGTAAGCGCACGGGTGAAGACCCACAGACAAGCAACCCAATTCACATTGGGGTGCCCTGTAACACAAGGGAACTTTAATACAATCAGTGTGCAATACTGAAAAGACAAAGAATATAGTTTCTAAATCAAACACCAAAGTCACCCATCCCCTTATGGATAAAAGTCCACACAAAAGGGATTGGCACAAGCAAGGCCCCAAAGCCTGCCACAAGTCTAAAGCACCTTCTGGTAGGGACCCATGAAAATGGGTCAGAAATGGCCAGACAAGTCTGGGAGGCAAATAGAAAAATCAAAATCAAGATCAAAGCTGCCATAGTGAACCTCCCCTTGGTCTCTCACCCACATCTGTTTCAACCAGTCCAGGGCCAAGAAACACGAGCCGCTTCTTCACCGGCCTCTCTGCTCAATGTGCCTCCCTCAGGTCTCCTTCTGGCTCTCCAACCTGCTTCCTTCCTCTTTAGATTCTTCTCCAGATTCTTCTCCCAGATCAGCTCCACTCTTCTTTGGGTGGGGAAGGGTAACTGGAACTTTCCTTTTTCCTGGAGACCACCCTGTTACAGTGTTAGAACATCTAGTGACCCTTTCTCTTGCAATTATATGAAAAGTAGAACATGTTCCACATGACCCGGCCAAGGAGATTATAAAGCAAAGAGTTGAAGGTACTGCTTGGGTTCTTAGTTCTCATAACAAAATACAAGCAGATAGAGAAATGTCAAAGGAAAGATTTTTAAACAGAGAAGAACAAAGATGTTCTGGTTTTGAAATTTTTCAGTCTTTCCAGATAACAAACAATACTAAAATTAATGAATGGCTTCCAGTAAAGTGAAAGACCAAGACATTACCAGCAAAATGTGGTCTTATGCTAAAGACAAGGGTGTGATTGTAAACTGTTGAGTTAAAACCCCATATAACTGTTTCTCTGAACAAAAAACTATTCAAACAACAGAGCTTCTATGAAACTTAAGCAACCACAGCAGTAACCTAGGTTAGAGAAAGGCTTCACTCAGAAAAATTTGAAAATATGGCTTTAATAAATAAAAGATACACAATGTTTGTTTAAAAAAAAATTAGAATGGCAGTAACACCACCAGACAGAAATGAATAAGAAAGAAATAGCACAAAAATGAGGAAAAAAAGGACTTTGTACACCCAAAATTCAGCTTGCAAGGGGCAGATTTGCAAACTTGGCTTGGCCTTCATGGAAAAGGATGAGTAACTCAGAGAATAGAACCCAAAAAATCCTAGAAGGCAGATTCAAAAACCATGGAGAAGAAATAGAAATGATACCATAATTTTAGGTGTTCAAGCCTAGCCTCCCAGCCAGGAATTGATCCTAGGCTGTGGCACCTGCTCTGAGTCCCGGCCACTAGACCACCACAGGGTGGTATCTCACAAAGCTGCAGCAGTAACTTTACTGAGGCTCAGGCAAGCAAGTGAAAAGATTCGTTTAGAGAAAGAAAGAAAGAAAAACTTTATTAAGGAGAAAAGGAACACAAATAAAGTAGGACTCCCAGGCTGGTGGAGCCAGGCCAGGGAGGGGAAAGCATCCCAAAGTGGAATCCTGCCTCTGGAAATATAGACTTTTTTTCCCTAATTATTTTGAGCTCCACCATTCTCTGGGATTGGTTAGTTCTCAGTAGTCTCACTCACTGCCTTAAGTCTCTGTGCCCAGAACTCAGTCTCTGTGTCCCAGCCCTGATTAATTAGAGTCCTTTTTCTTTATTTTCTTTATTGTCCTATTCCAGAATGTCCTGTTGCTCCTAGACCTGGGAGTATTTTATTAACCCCCTTTGGAATCTGTTGCTCTTATACCTGGAGCCTCCCTTAACTCTTCTGAAGTCCCTGAAGCTCCCTAATTATCCCTAACTTGCTCTTGGGTTCATTATGCCTATTCCTCCACTGGCTGTTGGAGATGTTAGAGGGAGATAATTTGTATTTCTCTATTCACCAATATCCCTGAAGAGGAGCTTGAGATACACAAGGAACTATATTTAAGAAACTATACCTGAGGAGTTGCATCTTGTGCTGATTTCGATGATGGATTTCTGAGCTTTAAACTGAGATCATTAAAAAAAGGAGAGAGCTGGGCCCTCCCTGGTGACACAGAGGGTTAAAACACAGCACTAAGAAGCGAAAGCCACTTCAGCATGAGTTTGATCCTCGCCCTGGAGGTGATCTACTTGGCATAGCAGACCTCTCCTAACCCACCCACTGCTCTCTTCAGTAGTGTATTTCAGTACATCTGCCTGTTCTGCTCCCCACTCTGTCTCTGGTGAAGCCTCTCACTGCCCCTGCACCTCTGGCCTATACCCCAGTTCTGTATGCA